GATAAATAGAACATTTACCATTCATAGTAATGGAAGTAAAACCTTCCTTATCCAAATAAGAAAGAGAAACAATGTTGCTACTCAAAGCAAGAACATAATAGTAATTGTTCAAAACTAACAAAAGCCCACTCGACAAAAGTAATTCATAAGTGCCTATGGCTAAAGCAGCAACTCTTGCTCTGTTTCTAAATCATAGGTCCACTTCGCCCTTCATCAACTTTCTATTATCTCTTAGACCCTGCACATTTGTACAATGTGAGAACCACATGTAGTATCTAATACCCACACAGAAGAAGTAGAATGGTGCATGTCTATAACGTAAATACCTGTAGGAGTAGCCCCGCTATCCTTCTTCTTTTTCAGATCTTCCAAGTAAAGTTTGCAGTTCCTCTTCCAATGACCTAGTTCATTGCAAAAGAAGCAAAATCATTCCTTTGGAGGCTTTGCCTTCTTGGCTAGAGGCTTGGTTTCAGGCTTGTTTGACTCTTTGGTCTTACCATTTGAGCCTTTACCCTTTCCCTTGCCTTTGCCTTTGCCTTTCTTTTTCATACCCTTTTCTTTCTGAACCATTAAAATAGTGCTAGGCTTTTTCTTAATGTTTTGCTTAGTAGTTTTAAGCATCCCATGAACACCCATTCTCTGTGCCGTGCACCGTGGCATGACACACATGCACCACAATGCATATGATAGCAATTCTTGCTATCATATAACAGTTTGTAAGTAAACTTTCAGCATGCACCGTTTTTGCATACAATGTCCAATTGGAGTGACTCAAGCACTCACACGAAACTTATTTCCTAAGCTAGCTAATGAGATAAGTTTGAACATGATTCGATGGTCCAATCAAAATTTAGACACTCAGGCATAAAATGCTATTATTTTTAAAAATTTAGCACACCCAAATACTCAAATCATTGACATTTCCTTATTAGACCATTCTTGACCTTAAACCAAGTCTGAAGGACCTATTACACTTGATTGACCACAATTCATATCATACATACACGTAGATCAAAATTTGGCCTTTCAAAAGCCCATTTCCCCAAACATGAACTTTTCACAAACATAACTCAAAAACATTAGTTTAGCCATTCTCACCACAAAATCCACAATTTTCACATGATTTTCACATTCACAACTAAATCTCAGCCCATGTTACTCATTTCACAACATATTTACACATACAAGCTAAGATTTACAAAATTAATACAAATTTCAACAATTCACTACTATACACATACATGTAAGTCCTATGAAAACTTCCATATACAATTATACATAAGATGAGTGTTCATTACACAATCTCGAGGATTTCACAACAGTGGCACAACTATGCTAGTCCTAAGTCTCTCCCTTTGCTTGACTCACTACTATGACCTGCAAAAAGGTAACCATAGGGTGAGATAAATATCTCAATAATAGAATAACTCTCTACTATTAATTATCACATGCAACTATAAGTAATATTGTATAATATACAATTAAGCATAGCATATACCTTTTTTACTTTAAATTGCATTGATATAAAATTTCACCACTTTCACAGTCCATTTTCACAACATTTCACCAATGATAGCATGATCACTACCATCTAAACCTCCAAATCACCTCGACTCAAAACTATAAGCTTGCCTTAGACCAATGTACACTTTCATTGGCCTTGAGCTCACCTTCAGTGGTAGAATCACCGAGCCAAAAGTGTTCTATAACACTTTCAAACTATGGTTTCCCCTATTGCACACAATGGGTTGTCGTTAGCTCCAACACCACATCACAGATGCTAAAGGGCCTAAATCTCCAATACCACACCGCAATAGGCAATAAGGAGATAATCTCCAACACTGCACCTTAATTGGTATTAAGGAGATACAATTCTCTAATACTACTTCCCGTTGTGCATTAAGGAGAATGTGCCAAATAGACTTTCACTACATCTCCACAAAGGTGAACTCATACCCCTATGATCATGCTCTTGTACCAATCATAGGTTCACATTCATATCCATACATATATATAATATATACATAAAGCATATAATAACATATTTCCACTTATTTGTTTGGTTGAAATCCATTTTCATGCAACAATCATACAATGCCATAAAACATGCTCAGTTTAAAATAGTTACATCTATTATCAATAATACTTTCAAACAGTTGCAATAGATAATCTACTAGAGGATGTTATTTAGTTACTTTAACTCTTCTGTCATAAGAAAGGTTACCCGTGGATTTTCACAATCACTAACGAGTTGCTATAAGCTTTCTTTCTTAACTCACATGCAAAATATGTCTATCTACACACAATTGGCATAATTAGTCAATTAACACAATTGACCAAAAAACACATAATTATTACTTAAAGCTACACTTAGCCATTCATTCGTTTCCACATAGTCACTCTAGGGCCATTATCCCTCCATCACCACTTTCTATCATTTTTCACAACCCTATTTCACCTCTACTCGATTTTAACCCTTTTTTCCTTTAATTTATGGTGAAAATAAAGTTTATAACTTTAAAGTTTCATCGTTCAACTCCAAATAAGTGACAAAGCTTTAATATAACTTTTAAGAACCTTTTCATTACTATTGGGTAAGAAAATAACCCTTTAAATTTTCTCAATTCAATTTCTCTACAAGTTATACTAAGAGAAATTATAGTAGAATCAAAGTTAAGGGTTATACGAGACTTACTCGATAAGCTATCACTCAATTTACCTTCCAAGCTCCCAAAAATCCTTGCTCTAGCTGGTCCTTTCTTCTCTCTTCCCTTTTGCGTTTTTCCTTTCTTTTCCTTTGAACTTTAATACTAATTCATGACTTATAAAGTCATTTTCTATGCCATGTTCAAGGCGTAAGTATGCCATGGCGTGTGGCATTGTGAGTAAAATCCTCACCGCACTCACATGCCTCATCCTAAAACGTGATCATCTCACATGTATCTACCCATTTAACATCCCTAAGACTAAAATCATCAAGTAATCATCCAAATTTTACGTTTACTAATTACTAACTCACCCCTAATTAGTAACTAATTATAGGATTAGAAAATTAGGATGTCACATTCTCCCTTCCTTTTAAGAATGTTTCCCTAAAAATTCATAAAACACTTAAACATATACTTATAGAAATAGGTGGGGATACTGTTGCCTAATTTTATCCTCTGTCTCCTGGGTAGCGTCACTACAAGCCATGCCTTGCTAGAAAAATTTCACTGATTGTATGGTCTTGTTTCTTAGTTATTTATCTTTCACATCCATAATTTGCTTTAGCTTAGCCTTATAGTTTTATTACATGAGAGGGATTTAGTTGATACTTCTTAAGTTGTGATACATGGATCACATCATGAACACTCAATAACTACAGTAGCAAAGAGACTCTATGGGTAACTGGTTTAATTTACTCTAAAATCTTAAAAGGACTAATTAATTGAGGAGTCAACTTCTTGGCTCTAACTGACCTCTTGATTTCGGTCATTAGTGTAACCCTCAGAAATAAATTTCCTTTATAATATCCTAAATTTCTTAATCCTATAATTAGCTTAATCAAGGAAAAAGTGATAATTAGAAGAGGATTAGAGATTTGGATGGAAGATTAATGATTTTTGTTCTTTGGACATTGAATGGGTAGCTATGGGTGAAAGGATTGCATTATAGGTCGAAGCTAGTACACATGGTGAGAATTCTTCCTACTATGGCACATCGTGCCGCGAATGATGATGCATACACTACAGTGCATGGACTAAAAAGTGACTTTTTGTACTCGAGTGTCTAAATTTTGGTTAGACCATTAAATCATGTTGAAACCTATCTCATTAGCTAGTTTATGAGATAAGCTTCATGTGGGCACTTAAATCAAACGTTGTATGTGAAAACGGTGCATGTTGGAAGTTCGTCATTTTTCCTATGAAATGATAGCAAAAATTTCAGATTAGCATACTGCAGCTTATGACACAGAAGGTCAGGCATGTGGCTCTATTCTAGATGCTGCGGCGCATGTATTGCATGCCGTAGCACATGGCCCCTAATATGAACTGATTTTGTAATTTTTAATGCATGCAATTGGTGTTATGAAAGCATGTGACTTGCTTTTTTTGTGTAATTCTATGATGTGAAGTGATTTCAATGATTTTACAAAATGAGTCTTAGGCCTAAGCTTTTCAAACAAGGAATTTGATTAATGTATGATGTGATTAGTATGGTGATTTAGTTAATCTTTTCCTATATCAATTGAATATAAAAGGAAGTTACAATCTCCTACCAAAAAACTCCAATGGCCTTCTATGCCTATTTGCTTAAGTCTTCTACCTACTTTGAGCCATTAACAACTTCTGCCTGATCAACTCAATTTTTTGAGTCATCTAATCAACAATATCTAGTCCTAACATACTCCTCTCTCTTAACTCTGTCCAACACAAAGGTGATCTGCGCTTTCTCCCACATAATGCCTTATAGGGTGCCACTTGAATACTAGAGTGGTAACAATTGTTGTAAGCAAACTCAGCCAAAGGAAGATGGCTATCACAACTACCCTTTAACTCTAGAACACAGGCTCTCAATATGTCTTCTAGAGTCTATATATTTCTGACCATTAGTTTGAGGATAATAAGCTGTACTGAATCTTAACTCAGTACCTATAGCTCGTTGTAAAGCTCCCTAGAACTTTGATGTAAACCTTAGATGTCAATCTGAAACTATATCTATTGGCAGCTCAACCTCACAACCTCTTGAATATAGATCTTTGCTAACTTCTCTAGAGAATCATTAATCCGAATAGCCAAAAAATGAGCCGATTTCATAAGTCTGTCGATAATTACCCAAATAGCATCATGTCTCAATTAAGGTCTCGACAACCTAAATATGAAATCTATTAAGATACTATCCCGTTTCTACTTAGGGATATCCAATGGTTGTAGCATTCCTGCTAGCCTCTAATGCTCTATCTTAACCTTCTGATGGTCAAATATCAAGTCAAAAGTCTATTACTTCTCTCCTCATACCTGACATCTACTAATATTGCCCATATCTTGATACATCTTCATAGCTCTCGGATCGATCATATACTTACTACAATGAGCTTTATTCAGAATAACTTTCCTTAGATCTGCATCATCAAGCACATAAATTTTGTCCCAATAGACCATGAAACCATTATCTTTAAAGCTAAAATCTATAGTTTTATTCGCTTCAATTTCTTCACTAATTTCAAATAGATATTCATCTTCTAACTGTACCATTCTCAATTCCTTCCAGAAATCATTGTTGACCTCCGTGGAATAAGCACCAACTAATGCTTTTAGTGGTGCATCTTGTTGTAAATCTATGAAAGATCCTATCAATCTATACTCCTGAACCATTAAACTTGCCACATCAAGGTCCTTCGGCTCAATGCATCAGCAAACACATTTGCCTTTCCTGGATGGCATTTCAGCTCAAAATTATAATCTTTAAGAAGCTCATCCATCTCCTCTATCTTATGTTCAGCTCCTTCTGATCTACCAAGTATTTCATACTCTTATGGTTGCTAAATACTTTAAATACTACACTATAATGATAATGGTGCCAAATTTTTAAATCAAACACTATGGCTTTAAGATCTAGATCATGAACATGATAATTCTCTTTATGTGGTCTCAACTACTTCAATGCATAAGCTACCACTCGCTCATCATGCATCAGCACATAACCCAGGCCTCTCAATGATGCATCTAAATATACCTTATAAGGCAATATTAGATAAGGGATAATCAACACTAGAGCTGTAGTTAACTTCTCTTTCAGCTTCTAAAATGCCACTTGTATTAATCATCCTAAATATAAGGTTAATCCTTCTACGTCAACTTAGGCAACGGAGAAGTTATTTAGGAAAATTCCTATATAAATCATCAATAATATCCAGCTAATCCTAGAAAACTACGTATCTCCATGACTAAGCTGGGATGCTCCTACTTCAACACTGCATCAACCTTATGTAGATCAATAAAAATCCCATCTACAGCACCACATGTCCTAAAAATTTAACTTCTTGTAGCCAGAACTCACACTTATTGAGCTTGGCATCTTGATAGAACACATTTGTTACCCACTTTTATTTGTCAATTAGGACCATTTTATTAATGATTTATCACCTTCAAGTGCACACATTGCATTAGATTTGGAACTTTGCCTAAGTTTCTAAGATCAGTGCACTAGGGGCATTTTGGTCCAAAAAATGAACTTTTGAGAAAATGTACAAGAAAAATTGACAAAGTGTATTTTATGTCCAGTTGATGAATGGTGAAATTATATTTTTAAAATTTATTTTAGTTTGGAAGTAATTAAATAAAAAAGTCAACACTTTCTTAAGTGTCTTAGTTTGTCCTAGTTTTTGGTTTGCCTTTGTGTGAAAATTTTTATATAATTTTGTGCAGCCTGAAACTTGATTAATTTAATAAATTCTCCCTTCTAATTATGAATTTAATTCTGGACATGAATTAGATTTTATTATATCATATGCTATTTAATTGAATTATGTGATTTATGTGACATAGGTGGCATGTGACTTGTGCATCAATTGGGCAATTGAGGTCAACACTCCTTGAGGACAATGGCTGATGGTTTGCACGTGAATTATGATTATTTTGAGGGATTAGATCAGCTAAAATGATGTGGATGACACATGGGAAATTAGGCACACATTGGAATCATCTACAAACCAATAGGAAGTTGCCACCTTGCAAGTGTGACAAGGCTCCCATTTACATTTTAATTTCTTTTTCCTTATTTTAATTAAGCTTCAGCTGATGGGAGACACCAAGGAGCACGCCATTTTAAGTCCCAAATGGGATCCAACACATATCTCATTCATCTTCCACATTCTCTCTCTCTTGTTCATAGTGTTCTTCATTTTCTCTCTTTTGTTCTTCATTTTCCAGCATCCTAACCTCCATTTTCAGCCACCAAACCTCCACAAAACTCATACCATTCTTCTCCTCTCTTCATTTTCGTTCCATCCCTTCCATTTTCACAAGGATTGAAGCTCATTTCCATCATTCAAGAGCTATGGAGTTTGGCCTTCACAAGCAATCACTAGGGTTCTTGAAGATGAAGATTGGCTAAGTTTCTTTGTGGAATCCTAGAGAGATGAAGATGGAGGATGAGTCTTGAGCTTCAAATTGGCTAAGTTCTTTTGTTTCCTATCCTCTTCTCTTTTTACTAGATGGTTAGATTCCTTAATCTAGGGTTTAATCATCTTAGCTTATAAATTCTAATTTGAATTTGATGTTGATGTAAAGAGAGAGGATTGTTTCATTTAATTTCTTCCTTGGACAGCCATGACTGAATTTTGCCACTCTTTGTTTGGCACATAATCTTGTGTTTTTCAATTAGTGAATTTCTTGTGTTAATATTGCATAATCTTGTGGTGTTAATGCTTGTGTTGTTGAGTAGCTTGACATAATCTTGTGGTTGCTAAATTTATGTGTTTGACTATGGCTGTTGAGAGGGGATTTTGAGTGAATCACTTGGCTAATGTTTTCACCAATTGGTTAATTGAACTAGGGACTTTAATCTAAGACCTAGGGAGGTTAGCTAATTAGGTTAATTGGCTTAGGATAATTTTCTTAAGTCATGACAGCTTTAGTCAAGAGGAAAGGGAAGCTAAACTTAGCCTAATCATGAGAAGATAATGAGTCCAAAATCAACTAATCTCTAGGGTTCCATTATTGTAAAAAGGGAAGTTCATTTCACTCACTTTCACTAGCATTTTAATTACTTGCATATTAGGTAATTAGTTTAGATAATTAGCTAGATAACTAAATTCCTACAAACTTTGGTTGATTTATTTCACTAGATAACTTTCAATTAGACTTAAAACCATTCCTTGGGAGATGACCTAGGGTTGGCCCTATATTGCATTAGGGTTAGCTTTAGTGTAATTTTGAGGATAAGCGACTAATTTCCTATCACATCTAACTTCTTATCCTTAAAAATCTAAAGCACAATTCTCAAATGCTTCACATATTGCTCCTCATCTTCGAAATAGATCAGGATGTCATTGATGAAGATCAAAATAAATTGATCCAGATATAGCTTGAATATACGGTTCATATAATTTATGAACATTATATGCACATTAGTTAACCCAAATGGCATAACTAAGTTTCATAATGGCCATATCGAGTTCTAAAAGCTGCCTTAGGCATATCTGCTGCACTTACTCTCAACTGATGGTACCTTGACCTCAAGTCTATCTTGGAAAAGACTAAGGCATTAGCTAGCTGATATAAAAGATCATCAATCCTTGGTAAAGGATACTTGTTCTTCAAAGTCACCTTGTTCAACTATTGATAACCAATGCAAGGGTGCAAACTGCCATCCTTCTTTTTTACAAATAGCACTGGTGACCCCTAGGGTGATACGCTTAGTCTGATAAACCCTTTTCTAGCAAATCTTTGATTTGCTTCTCCAACTCTACCAATTCTGATGGTGACATGCTATACGAGGCCTTTGATATTGGTTTAGTTATAGGAACCAAATCAATTAAGAATTCAACTTCTCTTTCAGGAGGTAATCTAGTCATTTCATCTGAAGCTACCTCTGAAAACTCACTTACTACCCCGATCTTCTTAATTCCCTTTCATAGATTGTACTAGAAGCAAAGAATACTATATATGCATCATAACCCTACTGGATAAACTTTTCTATACTAATCATTAACAAGAACTTGAATTGCTTAGAAGAATTCACTACTGTAGATAACACTGGCAATGAAACCATCTTTCTGGGACAATCAAGTGTAACATCATTTATTGCTAGCTAGTCTATGCCAATAATTTCATCTATTCCATTCATAGGAATAAATGTCAGATCGACCATAAAAACTCTACCCTCAAATCAAATCTCTATACCTTGACAGGCTCTACTAGTGATATTGGAAGATCTTAATAGCATAGTCACTCTAATAATTATGAGAAGTTCTTGCAAAGACATCTATCCACACACTCCTCGGACACAAAGGAATGTGTGGCACCAAAATCAAATAGTGCCTTAACTTGGTGACCACGAACAGAAATCATACCTCGGATCAAATTAGGAGATGCTTTAGCCTCTTCTTATGTAACTACAAACACTCAACTAAGAATGGTAGATCATGCTCGGTCTCCTCACAACTTTATTCTTTGGGCAATGCCTCACCAAGTGTCCTGACATACCACACTTGAAGGAAGCCCAATATTTGCCCGCATGGGATCGGCCATAAATGTTACACTAAAGCAACCTTCTTGTACTCAATGTCGGTATTGGAACATTAGATACTTGCCTCAAAGATTGTGGAGGCTTAATTCTCACACCTCAACTCCTTTAAACTAATCCCCACTGCACAAGATAAGATGGGACCCTCTGCTAAAACCTTTCCTCCTTGAGGAACCAGAACTACCTAAACTATACCTAGACTTCTTTAAAGCTCTACTTGTTGGACCTAAAGCGGATGACAATCTCCCCATACTATCTCATCTTCTCTCAACTTCAGCATCTCTACCCCTCCTAGTAGCTACTCTTAACTTATGGCACATACCATTATATGTTGTCACGCCGAATAATGCAATTTGCTGCCTAATCTATCTCATATTTTACATGTTAAAAAACTTGGTTTTTGGCATCAAATTGTGCATAAGAGGGTTTAATTTTTGGTTTTGAGTTGTCATTTCTATATTGACTTTATGAACCCTAATAATGATATTTGATGATTGTTTTGACACTTTCATACCCTAATTGTGATCTTGGGCCTTAATTCTCATTTTCTTCCTTTTTAATTGTGTTTTTAGGATTTCTTTAGTTTTGTATCTTTTATTTTCAGATTCTTGAAGCAGCAAATTTGGAACTAAGGGACAAAGACTAAGTCAACATCATTGGAAAAATTCAAGTGCAAGAAAGGACTTATTTGGCATTTTAATTTCAAAATTAAAGAGCTGAGTTGGTGCCATTCAGAAATTTATTTGAGGAAGGAATAAAAGTTTTAAAGGAGCATGATAGGTGTGAAATTAGGATCAGACTTGAGGAATCATAAGATGATATCATCATATGTGATGTAAAAACCATATATGCATGAATTAAATCTGATGCAAGAAGGAGCTTAGAATGACATCATCATAAGGCATAAGGAAGCATTTGATGCGTGATTCAATACTAATTCAAAGAAGGCATTGGGTGACATCATCATGAGGATTAACGAAGAGCATTTATGCGTGACTTTAGATCTGAATCCATGTAGAATTCACGTGGCAGCTGGCTGAAGCTCAATGAAGTCACACTTTTGACACTTTAATCACATGTTCCTTGCTTTATAATCAGCATTTTTGTGCACCATTCTTCCTCTAAT